CTTTGTTGATATGATCGAGTAATACACATGGCTTTGAATTGAATGATATATTTGAATCGAAATCTCGTTATCATCATTCATTCGTCAAAAGACCTTTGCTGATATGATCGAGCGGTGCACATCTCTTGGAATTGAGTGATATATTTGAATGAAACTATCGTTATTACCATTCGTTTGTCAAAAGACCTTTGTTGATGTGATCAAGTGACACACATCGCTTTGAAGTGAACGATATACTTGAATGACACGCTGTTTAGAACAATTCAGTTATCAAAAGACCTTTGCTTACCTGATCGATTAACATACTTTGCTTTGAAGTGAGCGACATACTTGAATACAATCCTACTTAGAATCGTCCATTTACTGTTTCAACTTTGACCATCTAATTTTGTATGAGCTTTTTCTCTAAAGTAAAAGCCATATTTGTACAAAGTCTTTGTTGGAAGTAATTATTTAGCACGTACATTACCATATATTAGTGAACTGAGATACCGCATCTCGAAGGGAATGATGTACCTGTATGATATCCTACTGAGAATGATCCATTTATTAAGAGACCTTTGCTGATGCGATCAAGTAACATACTTCACTTTGAGTTGAGCAAAATACTTGAAAGGAAAATTAATTAGAACGATTCACTCGTTAAGAGATATTTGTTGATGTGATCGAGTGACAGATTTTACCTCGAAGTAAGTGGTATATTTGACAAGAATTATTATCCGACTGATACCTTGTCCATGTATCTTTCACTGCTGTGTGTAATCTTTAGTAATTTAGTTAACAATGACATATCTGGATGAGTTCGTTGTTCATGCTAATCATGAGACAGGTATTTCGATAATCTAAACTGAGTATGCAATTTGTTTTTTTTTCTGACCATATTTTTGAATGAAACTTTCGTTATAATGGCTCATTTGACAAGAGATCTCTGATGATGTAATAGACTGACATACTTTACTTCGAATTGAGCGATATACTTGAATTAAATCGTGGTTATAACCATGCATTTTCTAAGGGGTCTTTGCTAATGTGACTGAGTGACAGAATTCGCTTCGAATTGAGTAATATACTTGAATAAAATCCTTGTTATAATGATTCATTTATCAAAAGATCTTTGATAATATGATCGAGTCATAGACATCGCTTTGAATTAAGTGATATACTTGGATGCCACTCTGGTAATAACAATCCATTTGTCAAGAGACCTCTGCTGATGTAATCGACTGAAACACTTCACTTCAAATTGAGCAATATACATGAATAGAGCTCTCGTTATAGCGATTCATTTGTCAATAGATCTTTATCGACATGATCGGGTGACGTGCATCGCTTCGAACTGAGCGATATACTTAAATGAAAGTCTCCTTATGACAATTTCTTTACCAAAAGATCTTTTCCGACGTGATCGATTGACATATGTTGCTTCAAAGTGAACGATATATTGGAATGAAGTCATGGTTATAATCATTCATTTGTCAAGAAATAGTTGTTGATGTGATAGAGTACCTCACTTCGCTTCCAGTTGAGCATTATACTTGAATGAAACGCTAATTAGAACGATTCATTTGTCTTGAAATTTCTATTGACACGATAAGCTGATGGCATTTGCTGAAAAAGCGAATGATATATCCGAAGAGAGGAATTGTTAATATTAATCACGTATCTTGTCGTATTGCATCATCTTACCTAACTTCAGAAGTCAATCTGAAATGAATAACATAGTTGAGTAGACCCATGCTAAAAATGATTTATATCTCTTGCGTACTCTGATATATAGTATGCTTTTATGTACTATTTTAAAATGAGTTAAGTGCTTGAATAATATCCTATTTGGCGTTGTATACTTGAGATGTAGTGTTTGAGTATCGAAAACTATAGCATTTTTCAAACAAGGTGCAAGGATAGTCGAATGGATTCATACTCAGAATGATTTGCTATCCATTTCATGATCATTCATGTGATTTAGTATCACACTTCATTTCAAACTGAGTAATGTATTTGATCAGTACACTCGAAAGAGTACAGGTGCAGCTATTTCATTTCTATGTGCTTCTTAGTGTTCCACTAGGTGTGTGTTTTCGAGAACAATCAGTGACCTATTTGAATTTGATCACTGTATTGCTTATTCATTATTTCAAACATTATTTTTCATATAAACCAAGGTAACTCTTGTTTCCATTACGAAATTAATCTGAACAGAATCTTACTCCAGATAATTCATCAACCATCCAATCTTTAATCACAAGTTTCACTACCATTGGCTGTTTGATAATGACATTAATGAACCCGAGCTTAGTTAGGATAATTCGTATGCCATGCGCTGTTTGATTACGTCTTTTGATATTAACGACCGCATCAAAATAAAATAAATGAATGCAATCTTGGTTAGAATAATTCATCTGTCATGTGTTGTTCAAGAACATGTTCTGATGTTAGTAATCATATCGGAATAAAATAAATGAACTCAAGCTTTATTATAGTAATTCATCTGACATATGCTGTTGAATATCATGTTCTGCTGTCACTGGTTACTTCAGAATAAGATAATTGAACAATGCATTTGTTAAAAAAATTCATGTGGCATGCGTTGTTCAATCTTGTTCTCTACGGTTATGAATTACTAGAAAGTAAAATAATTGAACACGACCGTCTTTAGCATAGTGCATATGCAATGTGTCGGTTAATGTTGTGTTTTACTATCATCGATTTCTAGTGAGTAAAATAATCGAACACAACCTTCCTTAGAATGATTCAATTGTAGTGTGATCTTTGAACACAGTATTTGTAGATAATTTTTAGCTTAGATATGCATGAAAATGAATAGATCGATTGTTATTGATATGTGTATTTTGGGTAGACTTTCATTGTGAGACGTGTCGCCATATTTTGGATGTAATGATAAATATATATATGAACAGAAAGTTATCAGTTGAAATGATTCTTTAGTAGAATTATATATGAAGGCATGAACCAAAGATGTACTACACTTCGAAATATTCGGTATATTTGAACAAAGCTATAATTATAACGATTCATCGACTTTGTGATCGAGAACTATCTGAAGGACTTTCACATTGCATTCTCGATCAGTTGCATAGTTGAAGAGAAAGTCGTAGTTGAAACTAGTCACTAGTGATATCTTCATTATACGATGGATACATAATGCACTAAGCTTTTTTCTAAGGAACATTTTTGAATAGATATTTTCTCAAAAGTGTTCGCCTGGTATGTGAGATGTTCCATTTCAGTGACACACACAACCATTGCTTGTAAGTAATTGATATACTTGAATACAATTATTATCAGGTTTATTCATTTTTGCGAGCACTTGTTTCTTCATAATAACAACAAAAGTTTTGCCTCACGGTTGATGATATATATGAAAGGATGGATTGTTGTTGTTGTTCATTTATCATCTAATTAGTAATTGTATTACAAAGTATAGTTTTAATTCGAAGTGCTGGTTATGAGTTGAACAGGATAGTTGTTAAAAACATTCAGTTCCTGGATGATGTTCGACCTCATAATTCTTTCAATAGTTTACTTGGAAGTAAGAGCTAAATTTGAACGCAAATGTTGCTGTGGCTATTCATACAATATGTGATCAATGATGTGGTCTTGTGTTATAGTTAGTTTATTGAGTTAACAACGAACGTAAACACATTTTAAGTAGACAATATACTGTTAAAAACTGTCCGAGACATTGTTCAAGTGACTTCGAAGATTGCATGCTTTTGTTTTACGTCTTCTTATTTTCTTATCGAACTTTTTGTCTTCATGAACCTTCGATATCATATGAATGTAAACTAATCTCGAGGAGCGTTTGTGCCATTTATACTAGTGAAAAGGCTTTTCAGCATTTGAAAATCTTATCGCACACAAACTCTAATTGAGCTTAGATTACTTTCATATAATGTTAAATATATACAAGCTGAAATTTTAATCCCGGACAAAGATTTTACATAAGATTACTAATCCGTGATGAAGATTTCATTAGTAGCTAGTTTCCTAATTCTTAATTGCTTAGTTTAACCTTTTCTCTTTATATTTGGTCGCAACAAATACACACGCTTTTCACTTTTTAAGATTCTTTTTTTTTTTTTTTTTACATTTAATCATCATTTATACTGGTTTTAACTTTCTTAATAAATATTTCATATGAAAATACTGCAAAGTTATGGAAATTTATTGAGATGATTGTTTTCCATGCTATTAAAAAGGTGAAACACTGCAAAACTTTGACCTAATGCGTCTCATCAATCATATTAAGAGCGGTAGCACGGCATCTTATACTTACGAAAATGAGATTTTGTGTTTGGTTTTTTTCTAATCATGATTAACAGGACGCGACAAAAGATATCCGACATCTATTTTTCTTTTCAAATATCGTAGCAAAAAGAAAATAAATAACTCTAAACTTTTGGTTACAATACACAACACTTGATTTACGTAGGATGCTTTAGGTCTGAACTCGAGTATTTCTTGAATGGATTCGATGTCAAAGTCTTTCCAATCTAGCTCAATTAGTTTTNATCTCATTTTCTTTCGATCACCATTCTTTTTGTATGCATTTATAAGAATATGCGAGAAAACTCGATGAATGATGAGAAAAAAACAACAGAAAAGAAGAACAGAGAGAAAAATAATCTAGAAATGGACGAAAATATTACGTATTACCAAAGTTAAATTTGGTGCGATGATAGTTTTGCTCGAAATTTGATCAGTTTAATGCTAGTTAGATAGGGATCAAATAGTATAGAAAAATAGAGCTTCGTTTTCTCTATCGTTCTGTAAAAAAAGAATTTTTTTTTGATCGTCTTAAAAGAGAATAAGGTATCTCCGACATTACTTTTGGCTAACCCTAAGTATGATATGCTAGATCATGTGCTGAACCTTCGATGGTGTCGAAAGTTTGTTTGTGGATTCGTACATCTTCTATCAAACCTTCGCTAGGTTCGTAAATCGCGGACGTTTTTGTGACATGATGACAAAAACTTTCTGGGCATTGTTATGTAACCAAAGGTCCCGTTTTTTTATCCGAATAATAATCTTAAGTTTTGCAGCCAATAGAAAAGTCGCATTATGTAAACTGAGCTTTTTGTCATGATATTATTTATAGATCTCGAACAGTTCGGCTTTAATTCTGATCTATTGAACTGTTCGAACAAATCAGTTCTGAGAACTGATCCGCCAATTTTCGAACACTATATAGGAATGCTCTCCATCACTTGACCACAGTTCTTCCTACTGAGGAGTCTACTGAATCGGAAGATTCTGTCTTGAGGCGTATGAGCTTCAAATTTTCCTCAATACATCCCTATTTCCAGGTAGATTTTTTTTCCATTATTGCAAAGACAAAACATGGTATTCTTCGTTGCATATCATAGAGAACCATTCGTAATCCCTGGGCCGACCAAGACAGTACTATCCTTTGAATTGGCAATTGTGAGAAAACCGCTTACTGAGATCTGATTCATTAAACGCGTTGGGTCTTCTTTCACATGCCCCCAACAATAGTATGTCTCCTCCATAAAATGACAGAAAAAAACCATCCCGGAAAAATAGTGGTTTCCTCACGAAAATCTGAAGTTCACACACCTCGACAAACTATCTTAGAATTCCGATTACTCGAAGTCCAGAACTCTGATAAAGTTAAAAGGACGATCCCTAGATAATCTTCAAAAAGTGAAAAGGCACATCTTGAGCCCATCTTCAAGAAGCTATAAGGACTACCCTTCCATAGCTCTCAAGAGTTATAAGAATCAACCTAATTAGTTCCAAATAGTTATCTGGACTACTCTCAGATAGACCCCAAAGCGTGATAAGGACGATCTCCTTATAGTCGCCAAAGAGTTATATAGACTATACTATGATAATACCCAAAAAGTTACTAATGGTTCTCCTAGATAATCTTTAAAAAGTTACTAAGGGCACTTCCAGATAGCTCTTAAAAAGTTACAAATAGTAGCTTCAGATAAGTCTCGAAACGTTGTTAGTAGTGCCTAGATAAACGTCTTAAAAGATTATAGATATCACACTTAGGGATGTGTTAAAAAGTTACTGAACCTTTATGTTCTCTACTCACTCACCATTTTGTTTTACAGATAACTATATATATGGGCATGGCCAGTCATGTGATACCCCATTCGTTTTACTACAATTATTTAGTAGAAAAGCGTGAAATTTTTACCATATATAGTACATATATAGTGCTAACGATTTGTCATTATCCTATATGTATATGACATTAGAAAAGAAGGTTTTAGAAATATATAATCACTGTCGGAACGTACTTTACAGTATGTTTGTTTACATCTTTCTCTAGGCGTGTACTTCTTGTACAACAATATTTCCTTCGTTCTGTTGTCAGTTCATTATAGTCATACTATTTTCGTCGTGAGTGTGATCTTTTCGCACGTTTCTCCATTCTTTATCTCTTCTAAATACACTTTCACTTGATAAAAAACAACGCCTATTCTCGTATTATGTTCTCTCCACAAATTGAATGGAACTGCTCTCAATGTCGATCTTCAGTGGCTGATCGACGAAAATATTGTATTGATTGTCACTCCATGTTAACTTGGACATGTATTAGTTCAGGAAAATCAGGTTTATACACAAACTACTATCGTCATCGAAACATTTGTGATTATTGCATACTAGAACTCGAAGACGAAAAGCAACAAGAAATCGAAGAGAAACGAGTTACTATTCAACAACAACTTCAAGGTATGGATGATAATAAGTGACATTAGGTTTTTTTAGTTTACACATATATCTCTTATTCTTTTATTTTAGAACAACGTCCATGGTCAGATTGGAGACGTACTGATGAGTCATGCATACAACATACAGGGCATGACGTCGAACAAATAGAACAACTATATTCTATGTGCGAATAATCACTAATACGTTATCGATCTCATGGAAAAGAAAAACATAAAGACGATATTATAACACCATATCTTTCTCCCATTAATTTACTTGTGGTTACACTATGGTATTTAAAACATTATCATTCCGAACAATATATTTCTACAGAGATCAGTTTGGGTCGATCAACAGTAAATTATTTCCTAACAGAAATCATCGATATCTTACATTCCTGTATATATCCAAAATTAATTTCATTACCTATCAATATGGCAAGTAATCGAACACCGCATGGTCCCGAACGCCATCACAAATTAATAGTTGATTCGACTTTCATTGCAATTCCTGAACCTTATGATTCAGATCAACGTAAAGCTTATTATCATTTAAAAAGTCCAACGAATTATGCAATGAAGGTACAGATAGCGTGTGACTTTCATCATCGAATAGTACATGTATCCGAATGTTATCGTGGGAGTGTACATGATATCACAATTCTAAGAGAATCGGGACTATTAAAACATGTGAACGATTCTGTGCAAATTATTGGTGATAAAGGATATATTGGGGAAGATTATGTGGTAACTCCAAGGAAAAAACAACGTGAACGTGAATTAACAGATGAAGACAAAAATTTCAATCGTGACATTAATAGCGCAAGAGCAGCTATAGAAAATATAAATCAACGTCTCAAAACCTATGCTATTCTAGGTGGTGTTTATCGAGGAGCGATTGATGATTTTGAAAAAATAACTAAGATCACACAAGTTGTTTCTGCTCTATGCAACATGAACTTAGATAAACACCCAATTCGCAAATAAATAGTAAAATATGTTGTTTCTTCTCGTATAATCATTTGCTAATAGACTAGCACCATTGATACTTCATTTGCGTTTAGAGTACTGGTTCTAAAGAAGTATTCGAAAAATGTTCTATTCTAGAGGCATATAGACCTCTGAAAATGACACATCGTTAGCACTATATATGTATTATATATGGTAAAAATTTCACGCTTTTCTACTAAATAATTGTAGTAAAACGAATGGGGTATCACATGACTGGCCATGCCCTATATATAGTACTCGATCTCTAATATCGAAACATATAATTGAATTGCATTAATATTGTGTAGTTTTAATACACGACTCAAAAGAAAGAAGTGGGGACAAACTTTTGACGCGCACTGAATACGATACATGATCAAATAAATGGTATACTGATGTGAAAAAAATATCATCAATGTTTACAATGCGAGCTTAATACAGAGATTTGGAGAGTCATGGATATGTGTCATGCGATATGCTTAGATTTTGTCAATGCATCATCTAGTGGCGTCGCCAGAAACTTTTGGATGGTGGGCAATTCTGCAGCCAAACTATTGTAAGAGGTACCATTACAAAAACAATCGGTGGGCAATAATTCTATGACTATTAAGTAATTTTCACCAACTCAAAAAGTTCGTGGGCAATTACCCAATTACCCATCCCTGAATACGTCACTGACATTATCTCTTATCGTCGAAGTTGGCGGCAGTCTCGGTGAAAATACTAATGAATTTGTCACATTGTGTGATTCTTTTTTAATTAGTCATTATGAAACATTGATACCAACGTATAATAACCCGGTTAAGCAATTCGAAAAAAGTTCGCTGTTTCCGATTTAAGCGTGTGGTTTAAGTAAATGAGCTCGAAAAGCCACTCTGGTTTGGCATCTAGTAAAAATAGACAATGAAAAAGCTTTTATCGGAATTCATATGGAATTAAAGCGAGAATATCGTGTCTATTGTGTATGTCGAATTCAAGATACACTTAGTCCTTGCGTTCAGTACCACAGTCATGTTCTGTACATCGGATCAGAATAGCCACATGAAATCAATAGAAACGTGTGGAAAGAAAAGTACCGCAATGAAGAATGAAAAGGCGCTTGAAGATATGGACGTGATCAGTCATAGGATACCCCGATTTTCTTTCTTTCTATTGTAAGTTAAAAAGCCTAACCATATCCGGGCCAAATTATCACCCTCATCGCTAAACTACTAAATTTAAAATATTAGCTGCTGATCGCTGTCTTATATGAAATTAATGAGTCTCTTAAAAATGATAGAACACGATTTCAGAGACTGAAAAATTTCATATAAGACAGCGATCAGCAGCTAATATTTTAAATTTAGTAGTTTAGCGATGAGGGTGATAATTTGACCCGAATATGGTTAGTCTTTTTAACTTACAATAGAAAGAAAGAAAATCGGGGCATCTTATGACTGACCACGCCTATATTTTCTTTTGAAACAGAGATTTCCTTTGTGCACAGATGCAAGTACGATTATGTTTGTGAATTTGTAGGCTTCTCCGACAAGTTTATGAAAATGCTTTATGTTCCTCTTGCAGTGATGTTGCTGTTAAATTTTTAACAATACATTAATCATGAGCAAAAAGTGCAAATGCTTGTACTTGGTAGGGATACCTAGAGATGGAGAAAAGACTTTATCTTCGCATGTCAAATTTTCTCTTGTTATCTCCTTTGGTTGTAGTTACACTTATTTCGTACAGTCAGCACGCGATAAAAGTATATGATATGATGCAAGATTGTTTCTTTTTTTCGCTCTGTCGTCTGAAGAGCAAACTATACAAAAAGATAGGCACAGCAAGCAAAATCCACTCTTGCGCCTAGAAGACACAACTGTCAACGTTGTCTATTGCGTGTAGTTTGCTCTTCATTATGTCTCTCTATCGAGTTTCACCGGCTCCTGTGGACCATATTATGACATTTCGACAGCAACCGAATCCATCTTCCATTCCTTCTTCTCCTAGTTATGGAATAGACGCTCCTCTGGGTCTACTTGCCTCGTTTTTCTCTGCCCCACTCTACTTATACGCTACACTCTATGGCAAATTTAGGGTGTGGGAGACACTCTTGCAGAACATGGCGAACGATGTGAATTGGAGTGAGCCTTGTCTGGATTGCGGCTGTGGAAGAGGCATGGTTCTCCTCATGCTCGCTCGTCTAAAGAAAAACTTGGCTACTAACGAAGTTCGGGAGTAAGTTATGTTTCCTTCATCATTCTTAGAAAAACTATTGCTAAATCAGATCCATCTCGCCGGTCTATGGTATTGACATTTTCAATAGCTTTGACCAAACTTCAAACTCGCCATTATCGACCATTCGCAACCTTGCTTCTGCGGACCTTTTAGACTACAGCGTTCTGCATACTGGTACCTTGCTCGATCTTCCCTTCGCAGACGACTCGTTCATCTTGACTACAGCATCCCTCGTCATTCATAATATTTCTGGTACGGAAGATAGACGACGGGCGATACGCGAGTGTGCTCGGGTTACCAAACCGGATGGCTGGCTAGTGATCGTCGATCTCAAAGGTAGCGTCGCCCTTTACGAGACTACTTTGCGAGAGCTTGGTTGGCAAACGATAGAACGAAAATGGGCAGGCATGAAAATGATATATGGAGTTTGGCCTTGCGAGTTACTCAAGGCACGCAAACCACAGCAAATAGCTTGACCTTTCTTTTTCTTGAGGTTATCGTTGACTTTTTACTGAATCGTGAAGTTATTTACATAATTTTTGCGAATGAATTTTACAAAAATCGGCATTTAGTCTAAAGATGTGAAAAAGATAAAGATCAAGTCAAGTGGTTCTGCGGTAACCTGGTGCAGCACTTCTAATTGAGCTATTATGCTAGTTGTCGAAACTAATGACGAAAAATGTAAATAAGACTTGACAAGATCGAACAAAAAACAAACGCCATTATACACTTTCCTCACCCCCTTCAAAGTTTAGCTTTTCTTGTCTTCAATTTTGAAAATTCCAGTAGAAGCAAAATTAACAACTGAAAGTAACACACGTACAGTTTTTCCTGATAGCTATAAAACTATTGCAAAGAGTTTCAACCAACTAAAAAGCATTTGATTATAAAAATGAAACAATATATCAACAAAATTTTATCATTGATCGAAGGGTGTGAGTGTGGATGTAGATGTAAATGACATTAATACTCACACTCACATCCACACGCCCACACCCACCCACACCCACACCCATACCCTTCCTTACACAGGGGACATCTACATAGTTCTCTTAGTTAGTGATTTACCGTGTCGAACGTTCATAACATTCAGACAGCCCCAGAAAAATATTTCGAAGCCTGATTCCAATACTGCAGGACAAAGATATCCAATGTTCCCTCGGTGATAATTTTTACTCCTAATTAAAATCCTATGTATATCATTGTGTTGCCTCGGCAGCTTTTACTTTACTCACCCTCAAGTGTGTGCAATACCGTAGTACATATTGATTTCTAGTGATCCTGAAAAATGACTCTATGTGCAAATCACATGCTGCTGAATGAAGGTTTACAAGTAGGGGTGGCACTTTATCTTTACTTTACCGGGTAAAGTCTAGTGTTGAGCTTTACTTTACCCGGTAAAGTAAAATGTTGAACTTTACTTTATTCGGTAAAGTAAAGTATTTTTGTACTTTACTTGAAAAAATAAAGTTGAAAAAGTTCGATTTTTTAATTTATCCATGAAAAATATTGCTTTCTAATTTTACTTTACTTTACTTTTTCAAAGTAAAATAAAGATAAAGTGCCACCCCTATTCACAAGGTAACCTCTGTAGAGCTTTTTCGTGGATTTTTTGGACTGTGTACTTCATAGTGATATCAAGACAGGTTTTTTTGGGCCTCATGTCCTTGCAATATTGTAGCCCTCAATGATTTCCAGTGACTCTAGAAAAATCACTGTGGATCCGAATCGTATAGTGGGGAATGAAGGTCCACAAGGTTGCCTCTAAAGGGTATTTTTACGTATATTTGGAGTCTAGGCTTTTGATGTGTCGAAGTAAAGGAAAAGTTTAACGGATCAAACTGAAATTTTGTGCGATAACTACTAACATAAAGTTGAGTATTTGCTGAGAGTTTCAGATAAATGTGCCTTCATTTTCTAATTGGGCCGAAATGCACCTAAAACGTCCCCGTCCTTTTGATAAAAAGTTTTGTATTAAAATAAAGATTTTTCCATTATCTGTAAAATACAATGAAAAAGAAAGGAACTAAAAACTCTTGTTACAAGTACATTGCGATTTAAAATCATGATGACATCTGAATAATATACTGTAGAAAAATAATTTTAGTTTGGATGTTTTTTATACAATGTCAAGCGACAACAGATTGCTATGAATTAAAAAATTTTCTATTTGATTTTTTTTTGTGTAGTAATCACCACTGCATATTTATTGAATAGTTTATTTTTCATTTTTTTCCTACATTTTACTGTGCTCAATCTGTGTTTTAGTGTACTTTTACTTGATGAGATAGAGATAAACACATCTTAATCGATCGTTCGTGGAGAAAATTAAATATTGTGTTATTTGGTATCATGAAGATAAGGTTTTATTTATTTTTGAAACATCAAAGAAAAGAATAAAGTTTAAAAAAACATAAAACTTTATTATTAAAAAAATACCCAACAGATATGGAATTTTAGGACTAAAATGATTGCTCATAATACGAAATCAAACATCATACATTTTATTAAAAATTAACTTTCTTGTTTATGAAACTTTTTTTTCTTAGGCCTTCTAAACAAATAAATAAAATATTATTTTTATTATATAAAAATAAAGAAATATTTCACTTTCTTTCCTACCGATAAAGATTTCTCTATACCTGTTAATTGTTTTAAAAAAGTGTAAAGAGAAAATGATAGCTGTGGTTCTCATCTTCATTGTTTTTTCACATATTCATGATGTACGTCTGTATTTTTGTTATCTAGTTTTTTACGCCAATAAAATAGATGTAAAACGACAATACTAAACAGAATATAGGCTTATGAGTATTTTGCATAAAACACTAGAATACACAGAAACTATGTAGCGTACCCACGAAACATTTTAATGAATAATTCACTAGGTCAGGAAAACAGCATTATTCTTGCTCGTCTTATCGTGGATCTTTAATACAATATGTATTTATTTTCAGTTAGCACAAAACTGCTTATTTCTTAATAACTGATTTGGAGTGTGTGTAGGGAAAAGTGCATTAAACTCACAATTTTCATTGTACAGTATACAAATATGTTTTTTTACTATATTTGACATTTCGAACAATTCGAAAGTTTTATAATCTGATACATGATCAGTGCAGTTTTGGAATGTGCTTCTCACCACGGACTTTGCATGTGTATCGTCTACTTTAACATTATTAGTAATCTAACCATTGATTTCACTGCTCTTGTACATATCCGTTATATCTAAAACAGGCAATGCACTACTATATATCACGATAAGCTCGTCAAAACCGACAATAATTATTTTCTAAAGTTATAATGTGATCAGTTCAAACTTTTATGTTGACCATATGATGACAGAACAAATTAATGCATCGATGCCCATTATCATTGACAATGTCAATATAAATTTTTATAATATTAATGAATCAAAAAACTTTTCAATAGAAGAAAAAACACGAACTAGTTGAACTTTTTCATGTTGTGTAAGATAGCGTTGTAATGTATAGTTATCAAAAACAGTAAACAACACTGTTAGTGCATTAACCAAAAATGATGAAGAGTAGAGAAATAAAATTATTAATCTCAGCTCTTCACTAATATATATTCAAGATTATGTCAGAAAACAACACTTAGTCTAATTATTTTGATTAATAAACATCAAAATATCATATTATTAAAAAAAAACACTGAGAATAAACTGAATTATATAAATATCAGAATTAATAATAAGAATGGTATAATGTGAAAATTTTCTAGAAAAAGAAAAAAAATCAAAATATAATTTTAAGAAAATAAATGAATTTTACTTTGAAAAATATCTGTTTATAAAAATAACTAATTACAAAATCATGTATAATATTGATCTATAAGTTATTTGCTATTATATTATCAATAGTAGATGATAAAGCACCAACAGCAGCTGATAAAGTACCAACAGCAATAATCGATGATGATGTTGTATCTATATTGATTATATTCGAATTTTTTAATTTTTCTTCATCGATAATTTGTTGTCTTGCAAATGTTATTAAATTTCGAACATGATCAAGACCCGATAGAATACAAGCTGATAAAGCCGAACGAAATATATTCATATCAGCTGCATCATACCTAGAAATAAATTTTCTTTATTGTAAATAAAAAAATATAATATTTAGTCAACCATTCTTCAGCTAGATCATCAAAACATTCAACATTAAATATAGTTGTTACACCATTAAATCCACCTAATTAAAATTTATTATTAATTAAATAGAAAAAAAAAACATTTCTTGTATATTACCAATTACAAATAAATAATCATCGACTACCTAATAAAATTAAAGCATTCATTTATACGTATTTTCTAATAATTAACCTTTAATTCTTTTAAATAAAATGTTTTTCCTATCGACAAAACTTCACAATAGCTAAGCAGAGAGAAGAGATGAAATTTTGTGTCAATTTTTTGTTCCTCAATATCGAACTACTGTCACACATGAGAGCATTCTATCAATATATCGAAGGCATCAGTATTCTATTCCTGTGGTTGTTATTTCATTAGTGACTCTTGTGGAATGACTATGAGGATAAAGAGTTACTATAAAGAAAAAAAAAAAGCGAAATTACATACTTCAATAGCAAAATTACTTCTTGGATTGTACATATCCGGTATCGACATCCAAGTATTTGTTTTTGGATTATATTTTTCACCGGAATTCATTCGTGTTGATCCATTAAAACCACCTCTAAAAACAAATTCATTTTCATACATACACTCAAAGATGTTATATTTTTCAAACATGGCATAGATTGAATTATGATATGCAATGACACCAATACCCGATCGTCGATTACGCATCGGTGCAATCATTGTCCATTGATTCGTTTTTGGATCAAAATATTCTGCACTGTTCATACATTCTTGTCCATTAAATCCACCACAAATATATATTCTATCTGTCTTAAATTTAATAATAAATGTATCTTTAATAAAAAACATACATACATTGGAGAACAGTTGCAGATGCATCTTTCAACACAAAAAAAATAAAATAGAAAAAAAAATGTTTTTTAAACAATAAACCTGATCGTTGAGCATGCATTGGAGGAATAGGAAGCCATTGATTAGAATTTGGTGAATATCTTTCAGCTGTACTTTGTCGTGAATGACCATCAAAACCTCCCTAAAATTCTTCTTTTTTTCCTCATAAGATAAAAAGTAATATTGAAATTTACCATTGCATAAATTAATCCATCGAGTACAGCTACACTCACATAACATCTTTAACAAAAGGAAAACCAAAAAATCTAAATTGAATAATCGTATAATAAATCAATTACCTTTTGACATTCATTGGTGCAATTTCATTCCATTGTAATGTTTTCAAATCAAAAACTCGACATGAATTAAAATAATCCATTCCATCAAAACCACCAATGACATAAATAAAGTTATTAATGGTTACTATTCCATGATATGCACGATGAACTAGAGGAAAAAAAAGTATATCCTTACTTAATTTATTTTACATCATAAATAAAACCTACATTGATCATTAAATGGTAACTGAAACCATTTATCAGCACGAGTCTAAACAATTTCAACATTCTATCGAATTACTTGATATCTCTTGCAATAAATCTTACATCATATAATTCGATTGCCGATGTTGGACTTCCACCTGACCATCCACCACATACAAAAAGAACTTCATGTGGAATACGTGGTCTAGCTATTGGATTTTGTACTAATAGATCCTTTAAATACATAATAATGTATCCAAGAAATTTTTTTTTTCAATTTAAAAAAAACAAAACAAACTTGATAAGTGTCAACATCAAGTTCATATAAATATTTTAATGTATCGATAACTAATGGCTTACAAGCCTCATTATTAATAATATATGGGTGACATTTGACTTTTTCAATGAAGAAATTCGTTGTTAATAAACCCAAACGAACACATTTGAGTAAATCGACAATATTCTTATAGAAAAATATTATTCAATAATCATAACAAATCATTTCTTACTTAATCTTTAAACATAAAGTATGTCTTTACTTTTCGATAGAGAGAAACAAATGATTAAAAACAAATAGAGATTTTACATCCCCTCTATACTTTAGTCTAGGAAAAAGAGATGCATGTAGATGTGTAAGCCGGCGCATTGATTGTTGGTGGTAGCAGTAGTTGCTTGGAGCATTCAGACTGAATGATGTAAGAATGATTTCTTTTCTTATTATACAAAAAACTAATTGAAGCTAATATTTTTTAGCATGAATGTACTTCCTGGGGGGTCATTCTTTTCCTTGCCTGAAGTTATACAGGGTAGGTAATCAACACATTGCACTACATAAAAAATATTGAAACTAATAAAGAAATTTCACCTATTGCTTCATAAGTACAATACATCATTGCAATCCTTTTAGAATTTTTTCTATTTTTTTTTAAATGGAAAAAGAATTTAGAAAATTCTGAATTTTAAATAATCAATTGTAGTATGCAAATGATTTATTTTTCTCATACTTTTTTTCGTTCATCAACTTTATAATCAATCCATCGTATAACAGCATCAAAAACTGCTTCTTCACTTTTAACATTTAATTCATCAGAATTGAGTATATCAATTATTTGTTCAATATGTAATTCAAGATATTCTTCACTTTTTATTGATATTTCAGTAAAATTAGTTCTATAGAATTTCTGTTTTATTATTCTTATTTGAAAAATAAAAACAAGAAAATTAATTTACATACAATAAATAAACTTCAGTTTGTTGACAAAGTTTTTTACAATCTAAAGTAAAAATAATTTTAAATTCTTATTCATTAAATTCCATTAACTTACAAAAGAATGATGCAAATTCTCGTATACCAAGGACATTTTCAGGATTAAGTTTTTCATATAAATAATTTTCACATAAAAAAAACAATTCTAATACTTGTAATTGATTAGCAGCTGGTAAAATTTCATATATATTATTTTCATTTAATTTTATTTCACGTGTATATACATAATCAATAATTAAATTCATTATATCACCATTAATATCATGAATATCAACAATATGATCTGTTGTTTCATTCATTCCATTTGTAAAAAGTGCTCGAAAAAATGAACTACATGCTTTATAAAAACAAAAAGCTTTTGTTGTTGTTTTTTTTTTTTAGTTAGATACGAAAATGAAAATTCATCTTACAACAAAGTATAGCTCGATGAACTTTGAATAAATGTTGATCATCAGTACGTAAAATAACATCACAATATTCACCAGAATTTCGTAATTCCGAAAGAACATCACATGTTATTGGACTATACTTTCGAAGTAATGATATATTTTCAATAATATTTGTTGTATGTAATGACATGAATTGTAATATTTATTATTCAAAAAGTAATACCAGCAGCGAATCGAATAGCTGGTTAAATAGACTTTTTCGAAACAAATGATATTATTAGACTTATTTTTTTTTTTTTTGCGGCAAGATTATTTTTTTATTTTTATTCTTAGAAGAAAAGAAACGAAAAAAAATATATATAGTTAACTATAGATATTTAATATCAATAATAAATCCGTTTTCATAAATATTGTATAAATTGTAAACATTTAAATTTGACTGCCAATCTTTTAAAATATGTATATAACGGATAGGGTAAACGTTCTACATTAATTTTATTTTCAGTAAAGCATGAGAAAAAATTGTCGTAGGCATTCGTACCTTGCAATCATAGGAAAGAGTTCTATTAAAAATTTGATTTTTCTTTCTACAACGTTCAATGAAACTCTTTTTATGACCCTCAGGTTAGGTAATAGAATTCGTTTTAACTGCTGAAAAGAATCTTATTGTTCGAAAACATTTATTAGTTGTAATTTCTGACAAGAAAACTATCAAATTTATACGACATTTTGTTGTCATGCTAGACTGAAAACAAAAGTTATGAAGAACTTTTGCACCATCCACTAAATTATAGAATATTCTCCTCTAGTCTTTTGAGAGGAAATGTTATTGATTGACAGAAAAAAAAAAAAAAAAGATAAGTGAAAGTCAATGATTAATATTTATTAGGACTTGTGTCGACGAAACAAATTTTTTATCGACTTAAACTTGCTACCACGTGATGATTTTCCAGAATCATCTAACTCAAAAAATTCATTCGTACCTAAATCTAATTTCGATATATGAAATTAAACTTTTAGAAAAAGAAAAAAAATGTTTTACCTGGTGATTCAGGAGGTTCATTTGTATTATGATTATCATAAATTTCTCGTTGTTGAATTAATTGAGCGTTTTTTTGTGGTGTAGCAGGTGTTGTTCGTAGATTATTTGATCGAGCATTGGTTTGTGATGTGGCAGGTGTTGTTCGTATGGCGGGTATTGTTCGGAGATTATTTGACCCAATATTTGGTGAAGGTTTTGGCTCTTCATCGTCATCCTCATCGGTGTCACTATCAGAATCTGAGTCAGATTCTTCTGATTCACTTTCTTCAGTTTCATCTTGTTTTGCTTGAGTTTGAGCTATGTTTGATGCAGTTTGATTTGATAACATTGGACGAGTTATGTCATTGCGTTGTGTTGCTGAATTTCCAGTTGTAGTTGAAGTAGGAACTGTTCCATTAACAAGTTGAGAAGAAGGTTGTTTTGACGTATTTTTTTCAGATTCCTCTTCGGACTCCTCTTCAGATGAAGTTTCTGATTCCGTTACTTTTGATTTTTCTGGTTTTTTATTTGTTGTTGCTTCTTCTTCGTCTTCACTTGAACTTGTGACCTTTGGTGAAGGTGCTTTTGGAACAACAGCAGCAGGTGGACCTGAACAATATTCATGTCAAAATTCTTAATTTATCATCTATCTTTTTATAAAAGATATTTTAAGATGTGTAATAAATTGACTTAAATTGTTACTAATAGGATTCAAATCGGACAAAAATAAATGCTCAATATGGTTATTCGATCTTAGCTTCTTATATTGTATAAGTAGACTTACGAGTAGATCTCGACTAGATTAAGACAAGCTAAAAAGAGTTCGAGTCCATTGCTTACTGATAAAGAGTTATGGCTGTTTTAATGAAATTATTTCAGAGAACAAAGCATTTTTGAAAAATTCAAAACAAAAAGTTTCAACCTAAAATTTGGCTAATACGTACATTTAATAGTCATCAGATCATTCTGAAAGTTTCATCAAAAAAAGAACATATTTTTCTCGAGATATTGAATATTCTAAAAAGCAGCAGTTTACAATAGGAGGACATAATGAATCGAATTTCTTTATTTTAAGTTTTTCGTAAATGCCTTGTTCTCAAAAATAAATTCACAACAACAGTCATAACTCTTTACCAGTAAGCTATGAATTTGAATTCTTTTAGGTTGATCTTAGTCTTCCGGAGACCTACGTGTAACCATACTATGCAGACGAATGACGTTCGATCATTGAATATATATTCCCTTGTTAGAGTTATAACTGTTCATTTTTATGTAAATAATTCACTCACTCTCTAGTTTATGTTGTTTATTAATTTTGTTCGAAATTCCTACAGTATCTAAATTATAAAACTAATTTAAAATTTTATTGATTTTCTTCGTATTTTTCATACGAATAGGAGAAGATGCTTGATCATGATATCGTCTTCGATATTTTCTTTGCATTGATGAATGTTGATTATCATCAGATTGATATTTCGAAGATCTTTTTCTATATGGATAAGAATCATTTGTCTCAATAATATCATAATGATTTGATGGTACTTTTCGACGATATAAATCATTAGTTCGTCTTGTATAATCTTGAATAGGCTACAAATCAATTTAAAGAAAAACTAAGAAATAAATAAAAAACCTTTTCGAGAAGTAGCTGGTGTGATTAAACCAATATCAGCAAAATTTTGATTATTTTCTACATATTCTATACTTGAGACATATGGTCGTACATTATCCATATAATCTTGTTGAATACGATGAATTAAATTTCCTAGCTCAAATGGTTGTATACCATCTATATTAGTGTAATTTTTCCTAGGTATTTGTTGTTGAGAATATCCTTGTGATGAATTCATATATAATTCTTCTAAAGGATCTTTTATTGGTTGAAAATAATTTGATGATTGATAAGGAATATTATACGATGGTTGTTGATAATATGATGGTACATTTGGTTCATCATATGAATTAACATAAGGATCATTATAAACCTTACCATCAAGTATATATGATTCACCGGATATTGTTATTTTTGTAGGACTTATTATATTATGTCGTCGTTTTGGTGGAGTATCATATCGATATCTATCATGAGTAGTCAATGGTCGACGACTTGGAGATGAATGTTTACTATGAGTGTGTGTACGTGTACCTGTTGAATAATGACGTGAATCATTTGTTGATGGTTGTTCATGTTTCTTTTTGCCATTTATTTGAACAGGTTGTTGACGATTATTCAATATTCTTTGTGAAGTAGAACTAAATGAGAAGAATACAAAAAAAAAACAAAAACGAAACGAATTTTATTCTGATTATTATTTGAAAAAAAAATTATTCTTACTAAGATGTATCTTGTTGTGGACGTCGATCAACATTTGTTTTAACTGATTGATAGTTTCGATCATGATGCTTAACATTTGATTTTGTTGATTGATTATTATGTGGTGGTGGTCGTTGTTCTTGTTGATTTGATAAATTAGAATTTTTGAATGCTGATGAAGTTGTTATTTGAGTGCCAAATAAACGTGCACGTTCAGCTACACTTACTCCACCGGTTGGTATTACTAAATCAAATTAGAATGAAATATTATTATCAAAGTCAATTTTTAATAATATTAATACCAGCTCGTTTCTTTCCAGTTGATCTATCGTTACCAGAATCATAGATGACATTTCCAGTCATTGATAGTTTACTTGACGTACTATTTGCCATTCGTTATTTTATCATGAATAAATAAATATTGTGATTGGAAAAAAAAAACTTGTTGACGTTATATACTAAGATACGAACAAGTGAAAGAAAGAAAAGTGTATAGAGAAGGTGATGCAGATCAATCAAGCATAACTTTATACGGCCTTCAATTTGAACTGATACATGCGCTTGTACTTCCTCTGTATATTGTATGATGAAGAACGAATATTTTTTTTTTTTGTATATATGCTACGCATATAAAAGAAAATGAAATGTGGTGGAAAATGATGTGATTGATCGTAAGATTGGGCCGTAATCTGTCAAATAGAAATGTTATATATAAATTATGAGTTATTTTATTGTGACTTTTTGATACTATAGCATTGGTAATATAATTTTCAGATACTGATGAAGAAAAAAAAATAGGTCACTTAAATAATGATAATCAGATTGAAGATAAAAACATTAGTCATTGGAAAATATATCCTATAATTTAGTTCTCTTCTTTTTTTTGTTAACATTTCTCAACAAAGAGTCAAATAGATACGAATCTCATATCACATAGAGAAACTTTCATACGTTTATAAGGTGGTATTATTGTATTTAAATACCAAATTACTAGTACTAAACATGTTTATGATCAAAGCCTGAGTCATCACATGCTCTTCAGTTTTAAGAAAAGCCTATTCCGTTTTGGGGCTCACTCTCATCGAAAAATCGTAAAATATAAAACTTCATGTCGATCATTTTCATATTGAATCTTGATCTAATATCAACTTCAGAGCAAATTGAATACGCTATATCATATAAGTTTTCGGAAAAAGAACTTCTTTTGCAACAAATGCACCTCGGTGGAACCACGAGTGAAACTTGAGAAAAGAATTGTTGAGGGGAGCGACATTGATTTTTCCTATAAAAAATTAGTTTTGTTGAAATATCTATGACATGACGTATTCAATTTGCTCTAAAGTTGATATTAGATCAATATTCAATCGGAAAACAATCGATATTAACTTTTATAGGACTCTTGAAATGGTCACTTTCTTACAAGTTTTCAATGAGAATAAATCCTAGAACAGGATAGATTTTTCTTAAAACTATATATAATTTAGTGAAGTGTGAGACAGCGCAGTCCTAGATCATAAAGATTTTTAGTACTAGTCATTTGGTATTTAAATACGATATTGTCTTACAAACGTACGAAAATTTCACCATTCCGAGATGAGAATCGTATTTTTTTTATTAGCATTCTTTAGCCCTATGAACATATCCGTCCTAAAGGCACGATTTAGCTTTAGGATTATAGATACTAACAATGAACTGAATTAAAATAAAAACGGAGAAAAAATAACAGGAGAAAAACACACAGAAAAAGAAACAAGAAAGAACAGAGGTGTGAAGCAACAAATACGATATGAAGAGAAGAAAAGAATAACACAATAAGTGTAGAGATATCATGATTTAAGCAGATGAGTAATACGTGTATATATATATATATTGCCTTTCTTTTCTCTCGTTCTTGTCTCTGCTAGATTCAAACCACAATCCTCAAACTTGGCTTTTTTTTTCTCTCTTCTTTGAGTCTCCTTTCTTATTCTCCGCTGCTCTCCTTTCTCCTTGTTATTGTTCTCTTCTTTTTTTTGTCAGTGTGACTTACACTCGACTGTCTAGAAACTTTTTGGAAATAAAGCAAAGCATAAAGATTCTTCTTCGTTATGTAATGTTACGGAATCTGACGTCCCATGTTTTATCATTTCATCTAAGCGCTTGCCCGAGTACATCGACATGTGACACGAATCTTTTAATCTGTACGCGTTCAGTTCTGATTGTTTCAATAAAAGGAATCTACTTCTAGACTTCGTCACCGTCTTTGCATATTTTCTCCAATGGGCGTAGCAGTGATCCTTCAATGCAATACAAATGGTTAAGCTCCATATGATCGGAATCAGTGAATAAAAAGTTAAGTCAAAATAACCATGTGAAGTGAAGTAGCACGAAAATAGGAAAGAAGACTCGCCGCTGCTGTATTTGCTATTATTTCTGAGTTCTTTATTATTTCACCGCTTGGTAGCAAGAAGCAGCTCAGTGATGAGGAGTCAATTTGAAAACGCTTTAATTCGAAACGTGCGAAATTCCATAGATGACAAGCTTCCTGTTGTAATGCGATGTCTTTCTTCCACTTTGCCTTGAAGGAGAATGAACAGCTATGTGCTAGGAGCTTCATTGGTTCAGGTCAGATAGTGGGTCGAGGCCGCTGAATAAGAAAATGCTATGCGCATCTAATAGCAAGTAGTACCAGTAAAGATAGAAATCGTTCATATGTCACATCGTATGATCTCAAATTCCATTCTTTTCTCCAAAAGTCTAATATATGGCACAATACTATTAATAGATGATCACTAGTTAATATTAAAGTTTCCTATAACCGTATAGTGGTTTGTAACGAAAGAAGGCAAGTCAGATCATCCCCAGGTTTTACTTGCTAGTGCATAAAATGCGATACATCTAATGGTTTGTTTTAATAGTAAGTCGATTATACATAAGTTTGGCAATGACCAAGAGACTCTTGCAGCTGGTATGCCGTTGTGTTTTATGACTGGAACATCATCACACGCGTTTTCCCCCGAACTGATAGAAGATACGGTAGTTAGCAAATGTAGCACCTGTTAGAAAGAAGTCTACGTGTTCAATCTTCTCCAACACTATAATATCAAAATCATACACTTTCTCCAGCAGATAAACTTCACCCGATCTTAGATCGAAACCATGAACATTAAAGCAGAGCATATACAGAAAAGACTATAGTTTATGTGCATACGATTTTCGGTAGGATTTTCATTTCGACAATGGATCATGTAACGTATAGAGGGGTGTCCAAAGACTGAGAAATAGGAATTCCTGTTCAGTTTACCACAGTTCATTGAGTAGTAAAATTTTAAAAATATATTATTCACGATAATTTTTACTCTTACACTCATTTTCATCAAGAAATTTGTAAACATGAATATGAGTACGAAACGTATTTAAAAAAAAAAACATTATTTTGACTTTCATAAATGAACGGACTATGAGAGATATAATGGTCAATCGCCATGTCCCCGAAAAATTATCATATATGAATGAAATTATTAAACGAGATGTAGCAAGTAAAACTAAAACGATCGAACTGATAAGTAAATGTTTATGTAAATGAAGTTGTTTTTCTAGATGCTCTTGATAAGTTTGTTGTTTTCGAGCTTTAAAACTTTTTCGAGCAGCAACAACAATGATAATTATTGATGTAAGAAGATTTATCAAAAATGGAATAAAAAAATGATTTATATTTATTGTTGAATTATATATTTTAAGTGCAGATGGATATTGAACTAAACACCATCTTCTTTCTTCTGCTTCATCATAAATAAGTTGACGATTTATTGGATCATGTAGAATACTAATGACATTAACTAAAAAAAATACTAATAATAATCCATCGAGCTGCTCGTTTACTTTTGATCTTATTGAAATTCAGACCTATCGTTACTGTAAGTGTTCTATCAATTGAAATACAAGATATTCGTAGAATTGTTTCATTTTTTTTTATGAGAGATATTTGCGAAAGAATTAACATCAAGAATTTAATTGAAAATAAAATTATTGTAAATAATGAAAAGATTGATGTAGTTAAAAGATAATATCTACAACCTGCTTCAGTTGATTGTTTTCTTTGAAATGTCATTATTGAAAAAGAACTATTGATAAGACCAATGACTAACATGATCGTAGTTAAAACAATACTAATTTTTACAATAATTGGTTGACGATTAATTGGTAAATTTGATAACCAAGAATAGTATCAAGTGAAAGTTCAAAACCTTTTGTAGTAAATTAACATTTACTTCCATAAAAGCAATCTTTACAAACACAAAATATCGAATATGAACAGTTTGGACGATCCGAAAAACATAGACCATCATTTTTATAAAAGCCATCTTGACAAATAGATGAAAGTCAACAACGTTGTCCATATTTTCTAAGCGAACAAAGACAGATTGATTGATTATTTGTATGACCAACACATATCGAATCTAATGAACAATCACATTTGCATGTTATTGTACAATCAATACCAGACCAACCTGAATCACAATGACAAAAGTATTGATTTTGATTATTAACAGACGTTAAACATTGATCATGATCACTATACTTAGGGTGTACCAAAAGTTCTGATCACGGCGTTACTTAGCCATATAGTAAGCTTTAAAAATCTTTCTTTCTATATAAGCCTGATAGAGAAAAGAATGCTCTA